CCAGGTCAAGTGTCATATGGCTAGAGGTCTTATGTCCAGTCTCAAGGACTTCATTCAAGGTCATTCCAGGTCTATGTCCAGAGTCCAGGTCTGATGTCATAGTCCAATTTCTAGGTCAAAAGCCCATAGTTTATCCTTAGAGTCCAGGTCCAAGGTTAATGTCTGAGGTCCACATCTGAGATTTAAACTCCAGGACCAATGTACTGGTCCTGGTTTCATAGTTTTGTTTCAAGGTCCAAGTCTGGGTCCAGGTCTAGGTCTATGATTCAGGTTCTAGGTCAAATTAAAATTCAGTTTCAAGGTACAGGTGCAAGGTCAGGTCTAGATTCAGGTATAAGTTCCACATCTAAAGTCATGGTCCAATTTCCAGGTCAAAGTTCTGAAGTTTATTCTTATTCAAGATTCAGATTCGGGGTTTTAATTCAAAGTCCAGGTGTAAAATTCAAAGTCTACAGTGGAGATCCAGGTCAAGTTTCAAGGTTCTGTTCTAAGGCTCAAAATCTGGCTTCAGATGTGAGTCGAAGGACCAGGTGTGATATCAGGTTGAAGGAGCTTTTAAAATCCTGATCCCAGGTCAAACTAAACACCCAGTCCTCATTCCAAGGACAAAGTTTCAAGTCCACATCTGAAAAACAGATCCAAAATTCAAATTTCACTTCCAAAATCCAGGGGGTTGATCTTGGATTTGGTCCAAAGTCCAGGTTCAGGGTCCATGTTTACAGTCAGGTCTAATATTAAGGTCCATGTTTAAAGTTCTGAACAAATCCAGTTCCAAGGGTCTGAGCTCAGGTCCAAGGTACTCATTAAACATAATGTTATTTTTCATCACATAACTAAATACAGTTGACTCTTGAACAACACAGGTTTGAACTGCATGGGTCCACATATATGTGAATTTTTATCAAAAAACATACGGAAAAACTTTTTGATAATTGAGAGAATTTGAAAAAACTCACAAACTATGCAGCCTAGAAATAATGAAAAATTTAAGAAAAAGGCATGTCATGAATGCATAAAATCTATGTAGATACTAGTCTATTTTATTACTACCATAAAATATACACAAATCTATTTTAAAGAGTTAAAATTTATCAAAACTTACACACACACTTGCAGGCTGTACATGGTGCCATTTGTAGTAATGTAAGGGAAATGTAAACAAATATAAAGAAGCAGTATTAAATAGTAACTGCATAAAATTAACTATAGTGCATACTGTACTACTATAATAATTTTGTAGCTACCTCTTGTTGCTATTGGGGTGAGCTCAAGTGTTGGGAGTATCCACTTAAAACGCCACGTGATGCTAATCATCTCCACATGAGCAGTTCATCTTTCCAGTAAATTGCCTATTGCAGTAAAAAAGTGATGTTTTGCAGTCTTCATGTATTTTTCATCGTGTTTAGTGCAACACTGTAAACCTTGAAAAACACCGTGGGACCGATACCATGCCCACTAATGATGCCGGAAGTGCTCCAAAGCAGCAGAGAAAAGTCATGACATTACAAGAAAAAATTAAATTGCTTGATGTGTATCATAGATTGAGGTCCGCAGCTGCAATTGCCCTCCATTTAAAGATAAATCTATTGTAAGGACCATTGTGAAAAAAGAAAAGGAAATTCATGAAGCTGTTGCTACAGCTATGTCAGCAGATGCAAAAACCTTGGAGTTTTTGTGAAATAGCTTTTTATCTTGTATTGGAAATGCAACTTTTATGTGGGTACGGAACTGCTATAAGAAAGGAATACCTATAGACTCTTATGATTAAAGAAAAAGTGAAGTCATCATGTGACAATTTAAAGCAAAAGGAAGGTGAAGGATCCAAAGCTGGATAATTTAACAACAGCATAGGATAATTTGATGATTTTAGAAAGAGGTTTGGCTTAAAAATTTCAAAATAATCAGTTTCAGCCAACCAAGAGGCAGCCAACAAGTTCACAAATGCCATTAAGAAAATCTCTGAGGTGAACGGATATCTGCCTGAACACGTTTTTAGTGCAGGTGAAAGTGGCCTATTCTGGAAATGCCACAGGGACATTTATTAGTAAGGAAGAAAAAGCAAGCACCAGAATTTAAAGGCAGGAAGAAACAGGCTAACTCTATTTTGTGCAAATGCAGTTGGGTTTATGGTCTGGACTGCCCTTATTTGTAAAGCTCTCCTTTGGGCAATCTTCAGAGACTTTGAATCATTGTCTGCCAATTTTGGTAAGTTTAATAGATGTTTCTCTGTGGGAGTAGTTTCCCAAGCTCCTCACACTGCCGTTCTATTGTAAGGTTCTATAGTATATGTTAAGTTGTATAAAAATAGCACTAGGAGGTATACTGTGCTAAATGAAAGAAATATACTATTAATATAAACCCCAAAGCAAACAAAAATGACACAGCAATGAGCTAACCAAGGAGAGAACTATTAAATCATAAAAATGCTTAATAAAAAAGGTGGAAATAGAAGAAAAGGAAAACAAGGCACAGAATGAAACAAATAAAAACCCAACTGTACCTATAATTATATGACATATAAATAGTCTAAGCAGCTCAGTTTAAATGCAGAGATTGTCAGACTACATTTTAAAAAGCTGCCTAAAAGAAATCTCTTTATTTAAAGACAAAAAAAAATTTTTAAAGTTAAAAAATGGAAAAATAGATACCATGCTAATAGTAATAAAAAGATATATCAGAGAAAGTTGATTTCAGGGCAAAGACTATTAGCAGGGATAAGGAAGATAATTTTATGATGAAGAAGGGGCCAAATGATCCAAGCATTTATGTTCCTAATAATAGAGCTTCAAAATACATGAAGCAAAAACTGAGAGAACTGCAAGGAGAAATAGACAAATCCACAATGCTATTCAGAGATTGTAACATCGTAGTTTTCTATTGGGGCTGAAACAAATTACCCCAAACTCAGTGGCTTACGACAACATATATTATCTTATAGCTCCTTATGCCAGAAGTCCGATACAGGTCTCCCTGGGTTAGTATAAAAGTTTGTCAGGCCTCATTCCTTTCTGGAAGCTCTAGGGGAGAATCTGTTTCCTTGTCTTTCCCAGTTCATGGAGACCATCAGTATTGCTTGGCTCATGCTCCCCTTCCTCCATCTTCAAAGACTGTAATGTTGCATCTCTCTGACCTTTTTTCTGACTACATCTAAGAAAGGCTCCTCTTTTTTAAGGATTCATGTGATTACATTGGGCTCACCTGGATAATCCAGGATAGTCTCCCTATCTTGAGGTCTGTAACCTTAATCACATCTGCAAAGTCAGTTTTGTCATGTAAAGTCCAAGGTACTATTCATAGATCCAGATCCAATATCTGAGTTTAACATCAGGTTCAGGGGCCAATACCATACTAAGTAAAAGGTCAACATCTGATTTTCTGGTCCAAAGTCCAAGTACAGATCCAATATTTAGGTTGTGGATACAAGGTTAAGGCCAAGTTTGAGTGTGAGGTCCAGGTCCAAGACCTAGGCACAGTTCTAGGTCTGAGGTCAAGATTCAATGTCAATGTCCCAGGTTTACTTCCAATGTCCAGGTCCATGCTTGGTCCAAAGTCTATGTTTAGTTCTGAGTTCCAGGTCCAATATCCATGACCAAGGTCAGGGCGAGGATTAGTTCTGAGGTCTGAGGTCTAGGTCCAAGGTTGGACTTCCAGGTCCAAGGACCAAATCCAAAGTCCACATTCACTGCACAGGTCCGAGGAATAAGACCCAGGTCCAGTTCCAGGTCCATGTTCAGGCTATAAGGTCAGATTGAAAGATCTGGAAAATCTATATCTAATATAGGTCAAAATCCAAGCCAAGAACCATGTCCAAGTCCAGATCTGAAGTCCAGGTTCTGGGTCTACATCTGAAGTTATAAGTCCAAATATAATGTTCTATCTCAACATCTAGTTGAATAGGACTCTGAATGTGAACATGTACATGGATCTGGATCTGGGAACAGAACCTTGAAAACCAGCTCTGGCCCTGACCCTGGCTATCTGACTTGAACCTGGGGCCTAGACATTGGAACTAAACCATTAAGGACACACCCTAAGGTAATCTGCAGACCTTTCTCCTGCATCTTAAATGAACCTTCTAATATCTAGGCTATTAGTTCCTTAATCTCTCCTCCTTCAAAATTCTTGTTCTCAATCTTGCTTTTGCTATTTAAGTCCTATGTTCACACCCAGACTTTACCATTGCCAATTTACAGCAACTGCTACAATCTTAATGTCAACATCCCACTTTCTGACCACCATCTGCTAACTTTCTTTCTTGCTCACACCCTTCAGGAACAATTCTTTTGACCACATCAGGATCTTCAATACACTGATACCACCACCTCTTTGTTGCCTTTTACCTACCTTCCAAGTCTTCACTTCCATTCTCACCCAGCCTAATATCCAGGGTCAGTCATTATAATCACTCCCTCACAGATACCCTCCACTCTCTCCCTCTACTTTTACTTCAGTGTATCCACGAAGCTAAAGAATAAACTTGGTCAAATCCACCCAGCCCCTTACCATGTGCCTACACAGCTGCAAGTGGCTGGAGAAATATGCATAACTTGCTGCTAATCTACCAAATTGTCCCTGTTTATCTCTCTCCCAGTTGCATGTTTTCTGTCTTTAAACCTCTAACACCTCTCACCCTCACTCTCAGCTGATGACCTCACCTCATACTTCACTAAGAAAGTTGAAGTAATCAGAAGAAAAATCTCACAGGCTCCTGCCCCACACCCACAAACATAGCTGTTGGCATCTGAGCCCATACACTCTAGCTCCTGTCTCGCTACTAACAATGAACTGTGCATGTTCGTATAGAGTGCCAACTCTTCACACGTGCGCTAGATGCCATTCTGTCTCGCCTTCAAAACTATACTGCTTCAGCCGTTCTTCCCTCTCTTTCCTGTATTCTCTTTTCTCTCTTTCTACTGGATCTTTTTCATCAACATCCAGACCTACTGATTTTTCACTTGTCTTAAAAATCATCTTTTAATATAAAATTCCCTTCTACTTACAACACCATTTCTATTGTTGCGGCAAGTGTACAGCTAGTGTTACAGCTCTTGACCGGGAAAGAACCAAGTGGTACATGAAGAGTCGGAGAACAGCCTTTATTCCTCCCCAGCAGGCTCAGCACACCTAGTGTTACAGCTTTCTTCCTGTCTTCTGATCTTCTGACCCTTCCCTTCTGCCCCCTCCACCTTGGTCTCCTCCTGCTTTTATACCCTTGGTAGGGCTCAAGAAGCGTCCAATCAACTATAAGCTTTAACATCCAATCAACATCAAGCTTTAACATCCAATCAACAACAAGCTTTAACATCCAATCAACATCAAGCTTTAACATCCAATCAAAAACAATGGGATTCAAAAATTACCCAATCAGGATCACGCAAGCAGCGTGGCCGGAAACAGGCAGCAGCATGCGGGGGTGGGGGCATCCTGGCACGCGGGGCGGGCCCCAGCAGCGTGCCCTCCAACTGGCCTCGCGCAGCGCTGGCCCGCAGAGATGCAGAGCGATGGGGAGGGGGCAAGCACCCGACATTTCCCGTATCATTATTCTTCTCTTTACAGAAATACTCGAGTCTTTGTTCTTATGCTTTGCAGTTGATCTCCTTTGAATCTCTCCTGCACAGCTCTGATCAGGTTTCTGACCCCACCACTGCACCTGGACTGCTCTTGCCAGGATCTCCGTTGGCCTCCATGTGGTTATAGCCAGCGGTCAACTCTCAGGCTCTATTCTATTAATACTTGACCTACTGTCAGCATTCGGTGCAAGTGACCACCCTTTTCTTTTTGAAAACCTGGGAGCTCATATTGAGGGTGCAGACCTGGCCTAGCTCAGGTGGAGGTACCAACAGAAGGACACTGGCTGCCATGACAAAAAGGCAGATGTACATAGTCCATTCCACAGCTAATATCTTCCAGAGAGAAAATCCACAAATAACTGAAACTGCCTTTGCTGACAGCTCCATCATTCTTAAGCGCAAATTTCCCATCTAGATTAATTGGTTTCATCAATTAGTCTGACCAAGGACAAAAAACAAGACTGTATGTTCCACAGACTGTAAATTTTTTCTTTTATAAACCTTTCCTTTGCCTTTTTACATGATTAGTCTCCCTTGGTTATAAGCAAGTTCTCAGCTGTGCTCTAACCAAACATTTCTGAGTTCCCTTAGCAAGTTTTGGAGGTTACTCTTTGAGATGAGGCTTTCTCTTGAGCTAATCAAATTATGATCCTGAAACTGTCCCTCTTTGGCCCCTTGGGTCCTGGCTTACTTTCTTTAGCATCTCTGGAAAGTCTCTCTGCCTGGCGATCAAACTCTTTGGCTCTTGTACAGTGAATATGGCTCTTGGCCACGTCCGGTTCTATTAATTCTGTTTTGCACGTGGCCATTCTATTCTCTCTGTTAGTGGTGACAATGTGATTTGTTATACAATACTTTTTGACTTCTTGTCTTAAGGATTGCATAGCTTCTGCATTGCCAGTATTTATTGTCAGGTCACAAAATTTTGATTTATTTATTTATTTATTTTTGAGACAGAGACTCACTCTGTTGTCCTGGCTAGTGTGCAGTGGCGTCATTGTAGCTCACAGCAGCCTCAAACTCTTGACCTCAAACCAATCCTTTCGCCTCGACCTCCCAGAGTGCTAGGATTACAGGCGTGAGGCACTGCACCTAGCCAAAACTTTGATTTAATCAGACTGTTAGCTGGTCTGAACTGTCAACGGAAAAAGATGCCAAACTCTGTAAAATAATTTTAAAGAGTTTGAGGACCATGAGCCACTCCCAAGAAGCCTTGAGCAAGTCCACTCGCTGTGACTGGGTTACAGTTTGGTTTTATACATTTCAGGGAGACAGGGGTTATAGGTAAAGTCATAAATCAATACATGGGAGGCATACATTGGTTTGGCCTGAAAAGGTGGGCCATCTCGAGGAGGGGGTGCTTACAGGTTATAGGTGGGTTTAAAGATTCTTTGACTTGTAATTGGTAAAAGACATGAAGCTTTGTCTAGAGGCTTGGAACGTTTCAACATAAGGAACTGTTTTCAGAGATAAACCATCACTGGACATAGATTTGCTGTGTAAATTGAGGACCTGCAGGTTTGTCTTGCATACCCTTAGGCCTGTTAATGGGTTACAAAGGATGTCCCCAAGAAGGGAGGGGGACATGATAAGGCATGTGTGACCTCCCTCCTCCTGGCAGGCAATTTAGTTTTAGGATATTCCTTTGCCCACGAAGGGGTCCATTTAGTCAGCCGGTGGGGGTGGGGTGGGGTGAGCCTTAAAATTTTATTTTAGTTCACAGAACCATGATGTTGAGAAGTCACTTATGTACTTCTATATTATAAACTATTTGTCTTTTTGTCTGTTGCAGTTTGGGGCACTCCACAACTGTGCTCAGGTTCAATAATTTGCTGGAAGGGCTGGCAGAACTAAGCAAAGCTGTTATACCCATGGTCATGGTTTGTTACAGTGAAATCAGCATGGGAAAATCCCACAGGACAAAGTCCAGGCGAGACCACAGAGCTTCCAGTTGTCCTCTCCCAAAGCAGTTATGTGGTCAGCATTTATTTCTCCAGCAACAATGTGTGGTAACAACACAAAGTATTGCCAAGCAGGGAAGCTCATCTGACTCTTGGTGTCCAGAGTTTCTATTATGGGTGGGTCACATCGCTGTGGTTGACTACACTGGTCGCTGACCTTAGTCTCTAGCTCTCTAGATGTCCAGCTGATACCACGTGGCTTAAGGCTCCCACCAGAAATCACATTGTTAGTAGAGACTCTCTGATGGCTCAGGGCCCCTAGGTAAACAAATGACACTCTTATCAGGCAAGACATTTCAAAGGCTCAGAGGTTACCTTCCAGCAGCCAGAGGCAAAGGGCCAAATCCTTCATTAGACAAGGTTAATCCTTTATTTCCCGGCTGTTGATACCATCCTCTGTGTTATTTGCTTATCTGTGCAGCAGTATGAACTTAAATCACTACCAAATAGAATTAGCATCCGCCTCATACCAAACATCCCGAAATGAACAATAGCCCCGGATCAAGAAATATCACAGTAAATGCACCTTTAAGAACCTTGATATTTCCCTGCACTTCCTCTGTGGAGCTCCCCTAACTTTACACTGAGATCCAACAAATTATGGTCATTTTCATAGCTGATGACGATTTACTTGTCTATGATGTGTAATTATATCTCTTTGTCTTTCTTATTTTAGAAATGGAAACATCTTGGTCCTTTTAGGTCATGACTGCCTGCCAGCTAAAGGCTGGCGAGAGTTTCACTTTGAGAGTGAGAGTGTAAATCACTCTGGTCTGGACACCAAAAGCTGTCTCCTCACTGAGAGCCTGGCAAGACCTGGATGAGCACCTGTCTTTTAGTTTAGAGCCTAGAGGCTCAGATCGCAGTCCTGGCCGTGGTGTCTGTTTGTATGTGAAGATCTCAGAAGCTCCAATAAGGCAAAGAGAGTAATTGACTTACAGGTGTCAGTACTTGCTTTTGACTGAGGTTTTAATAGAGAGACTTCCAGTTCCCCATGTCTGTAAATGAGGAAAACTTCTCCTCTCTTTGTGTGTGAATGTAGCCCTATTATGTCTGTGGCCACTTCTCTTTTGGGATAAGAATTTTAGACATTGACTGGTCATTTGTCATTTGTGTGCACCTTGGACGTGCCTAATTCATACAGCCAATCTACCTCCACAAGAAGGAATTGTATACTAAGAGTTAAAAAACTGAAATCGGTTTCCCATGGTATTGAGAACAGCAAGCTATAGCTTCTAAGCAAGATTAACCGATTTGTACAAGAACTTTATAAATGAGCCTAAAGTGTTTATTCAAAAGTTTAAATCCCAGCTGGAATAGAAAGGCATAGAAATAGATCATTGTATTTGGCTTGCCCAGAACTTCATGGCTACCCTCTATCCCAAATCCTAAGTTCTGAATGCATCATTTTTTTTTGCCTTCTCTTTTCTTTTGAATATGAAAAGTTTTCTGAGCAAACGAATTGGTATATCCTTCCCTCCCTTCAGAGGAAAGCAACAAGTTAGAGTATCAACTCTCTTAAATTAAAAAAAAAGTTCATTGAGGCCAATATGTGATTATTGAAATCCACCATTTATTCCTGACTATAGGCCAAATAGCAAAGGGAACACGCAAGCTGCAGGCTCGACACATGACATGACAGAGCATCTACATCCATTGGCTAAAACAGTCCTAGCTGTGGAACTGTTCTAGTCTCTTCTCTAGCCAGCCAAAGGGAAGTGTGCGTGACAGCTAATGCATCCTGTAATTCCTGGGTGACCACTAATGGGAGAAGACAATCAACTGAGGAAAAAAAGGACACTTGGTTTTCTAATGTTGGCCAAGCCAGTCTACGGCGCATACCACCCTGAACGTGCCCGGTCTTGCCTAATGTCAGCCAAGCTGACCTGCGGGATTTATTCTCTTGGTGAAAGGTAGGGCTGATGAGGAAACTGGATGTGAAGTGGGTGTTACTTTTTTTTTCATGGTATTCACAAGTATATTCTTTCTTGCCTTACTCTGCTGTTTCATCTCTTGGGGCTTAAATGTGTCTATACAGCTGTTATACCAAGCTGACATTCAGCTGATGGTACCACATCAAAAAGAAATTGGGGCCTTTGTGGCTTTCTAGTTTTTAGGGGAGCTCAGATTGACCAAAAGGAAGACCGAGAAGTTGTACTGGGAGCTTAGAGAGATGACTTGGCTGAGCTAAGGTGGAGACACTGGCAGAAAGACCCTGGCCACCAAGATAGAGGCAGGTGCACCAGCTGTACTGCAGCAGAGACCTGTGGGCTTCTCAGATGCCTCACAAAGAACGGAACTGCCTTCCCTAACTCTGCCAGCCTTTTGAAGGGCACACTGCCTTCCCTGGGTGTTTCCAACCATCCTACCCAACCATGGACAATAATCAAGGCTCTGCTCCACAGGATCTTGGTGAGTTTTCCTTTACAAATCCTGCTTTTGCCTTTGTTTAGAGTGATGATTTACACATGGTTGCTCTGTCTGGTACATGATACATTTTCAGCTGTGCACAAGCTTAATGTCTCTAAATTATTCTTTGGCATACTTTAT